GTTTTAAACATCTCTTTAGGCTAGATTCTAACAGCAGAAACCGCACCAGGATTGTTTCTTACATCACTCTTGTTAGTTTTTAACAGCAGTATGTAGTAGCCTACAGTCCTGGTTTAATCTCTCACAAACTTGATTCTTTCCGGAGTCTGGCTTTTGCTGATCTAAACACTTTGCACCATGTTTATAATCATGAAACCTCATGGCTGACTTTATTAGTGCATGTTTATCCCTATAAAACTGCTTTGACACCACCTGCACTGTATAAAACACCTCAGAAGGTGACTCCAGTTATATATTGAACTTCTAACTTCATTCCCAGAATTTGCGAGTTTATGAGTCTTGCGAGACATAAAGCGACGGTTCTGAGAGAGCTTGGAAAGGAGGATTAGAAAGAACGAGTCTGTTTGAGACTCTTTGAGAAAGTATAGATGTTTTTACATGTACACTGAGACAATTAAAGTATTTTACGAGCTTAAATGTATGTAAACAACTTGTAGAAAAACATTGAAAATAATATATGCATGCACTTACACTGACAACTGCAAGAAAACTAGAGCTATGAGATTAAAACGACATGCAGTGATTTATAACATTTACTGTTTATTCTTTATTATAATTTATTACAATGACAATCTATCCTACCTCGTACCTCTGAAATACATTTAAAAAAATCAAATACAATTATTAGAGAACATTTAAAAGGCTCGTTTCAATCTATGAACGTGTACGACAAGCTCTAAAAACACCATAAGACTAAACCTATGGCCCGTACAATAATACAGACAGCTGTACATAAAGTGCAACCTATTTCCGACATCTTTTGTGTAAGAAACAGACCTAAATCCAGCTATTAAGTGGAAAAACTGCCCTGGTTTTAATATCTAGTTTACTTGAGGCTGCGGAGATGACGAGGGGAACTATTTTTGGGTGACCTATAGCTTTAAGGGCTGATGATGAGAGTTTATAATGCGCACTGAAGACACCAGCAGTGACAAACCACTCCTTCATAATGGAGAATTATTTCCTTCGGCGTACTCCCTTTATTCATCAAGGTAGCCTATTTTATGCAATTTAATGCAATTACATCTGAAATAACTTCAAAATTATGGGAATTCCCCACTTTTTTAAGTGAAAAGTCAATAAATGTCACACATTGCATTGCTTTTTTTTTATTTTACTTAAATATCTAAATACTTTAAATGTAAAATTATACGCATTAGCTTGAGCTGCTGTTTTCCCATGCTAGCTGTCTCTGTTTCACTGATGCAGTGGTGTTGCTGTTTTAAATGTATACACTCATGTTTGCTATGAGTTTGCATGAGCACATTAACTTTAGCTGGAGAATGAAATGCTGACTCGTAATAGTGCCATGGTGACTCGTAATATCTGCGCTTCATTGATAATGCCTTTTTAGAGTCACGGTGTGCGCGCTTAACTCTGAGTCAGTGTAAGTTGATTGACCAGGGGCCTGTTTCACTAGGTTCAACCAACTCTAAGTTTAAACTTGAACTCTGAGTTGTTTTACCGTGAGATTAAAAACTCAGCGTTTTCAGTTTCAGAACAGCTGATCTGAGTTGGGCCAATCAACTTTGAGTAGACCCACTCAGAAGCTGCGTCCTAAATCGCATACTTATGCACTATTAGGAAAAGATTTATCATTAGAAAGTCTTTTCCTATGCCTGACCGACATTAAGACCTGGATGACAAATAACTCTCTGCAACTAAATGTAAATAAAACAGAAGTGTTATTATTAGGTCCTGCTGCAACCAACAATTCAATTAAAACTCAGCTAGCAGTCCTAATTCTTGTTCTTTGTGTGACTGAAATGTAGGCAATAGCTATGTTTCCATCCAAAAATGTTAATTCAATTTTTGTGCAAAACTGGAATAACGCATAAAAGACGTGCCAATAAAGCCACGTTTTCATCCAACAGATCAAACAGAACAAAATCGTCACTTCCTGATTAACAGGCGCTAAATATCAATCAACACTAAAAACAGAATTAAAAACTGCGGTAGAAGACGCTGCGTCAATCTTTTCTTTATTTAATAAATGTGCTCGCCCCTCTGAAGACAATGCTGACACACAATGAGCATGTGGGGGCGTTTGAAGCCATGAGACGATGCTCTTGACACTCTGGAGGTCATTAATAATATAATAACATTAATACTGAAACAGTTAAGGCGCTTTAGAATGACCAAAACAACATTCCCGATGTTCTGCAGTGTGCTCAGCCTGCGTTTGTCTATTCACACACTCATCATCATATGATCTCTTATAAACAAACCTTTTTTTTTTAATGCACACACTGGAATTTGTTCAGTAAAAGTGTTTTCATCGCAATTTATGTGCAACTTTTATCATATATAAAGTTTATCCCACTCAGTAGATATGCGCATTTTTTTTTTTGCATATTTTTTTTAAGTTATGCGCATCATGATGTTTCCATCAATTGTTTTTTTTAATAAGCATAACCAAAATGAGCATTAAAATAGGTGGGTGGAAACGTAAGACTTAGATTTAGAAATTTAGAAAACCAGGTCAGGTCCACAGATTAAGTGACCTGGTAACAGACTCTGAGTTAAGGCTGATTTATACTTCTGCGTCAAGCGCACACGTATGCTATGGCGCAGCCTACTCGTTGACGCATAGCCCTACGCCGTCGCTGACGTGCACCTTTCAAAAAATGTAACTACACGTCGCATCGACGCAAAGCGCAAGTGTAACGGAGTAAATAAGTGTGTTAAATTAATGCCTAAATGGGGACAGCGCCCTCTAGAGTGTGCGTGATGTAATAAGCGTGTGGAGTAGAGACGGCCCACAGCAGAGTTAACAAAGCATTGCTGTGGGTAAGCTGCACGTTCCTCCCGGGTGGAAAATGACCATTAATAAGTGTTTAAAACACATAAATATTAGCTTTAATGTGACTTAATGTTTCAATGAATATGTTGGGACACTGTTGAGTTGTGTTTGGCGTCGAGTGTGCTGCTCAATCTTGAGTTTATAACGTGTTTATATAACGAGGCCTGATTGAAATCAGTTTGTCTTGTGTTTCATATAGAGGTGGTCATTTTCTTTGTGATCCAGCAACTATTTACACGCGCTGTCTGTCTCCATTGTACAGGTACGTGTTAAATGTTATAAATTAATTGTTTGTAATTCTTTTTCTTCTTACTCAAAACGAGTTACTAAAAGTCTCCACTCGGTGGGGAAGTTTCCTTACTTTTGGAGTTGAATTGTATTGCTCTGTTACAATCAGTGATTGTACATTGAGAATTGTGATTCATTAATTTGTCATGTAAAATTCAAAGTGAGTTATGTTTTTCATAATCTGTTAAAATTTACACTATACGATCACAAAGTTAAAAAGAATTCATTGGCATATAAAAAATATATAAAACTGTTTTAAATAAAACAGAGCAGAGTTAACGAAGCATTGCTGTGGAGGTGGTCATTTTCTTTGTGATCCAGCAACTATTTACACGCGCCGTCTGTCTCCATTGTACAGTGTACAGTAAGAGGACAGCCCAAGCAAGACCGTCACACAAGCTCTGTGATTGATCGGCTTGGTAGCGCTGACTAGTCTAGGCGGGACCGAGAGCTGCGTGAGCCAGATGGAGCGATTGTTTACAAGTGTGGAGTCCCGTGAAGGAGCTCCGGATGGAAAGTTTTGTTTTGTGTTTACCTTATAGTTAAAGTTGTTCCACGTCCGCCGGTTCCTGCCTCAAAATGAGCGAGTTTGAGTCACCTGTACATTCAGGATGCGTTCAGAAAAAACAAAACACCAGCAAAGAAACTCGACACAGAGGAACATTTACACCTCACTGCCAACTAGTGTCTCTGAAGTGTTAATGCAGACCAACAGAGACAGCCCACAGAAGTATGAATGCACAGCTACGTGCGATGCATGCGCTGTGGGTTACGCCGGTCACTTGACGCAGAATTATAAACCAGGCATTAAAGTTACCTCTCTTTCAGAAACAGGCTTGACTTACCCTGCTTTCTTCCATTTTGAAATGGAAAACCTATAGTTTCTCTCATTTCAGGGTTAAAATACTCAGAGTTGTCACTTAACCTCCTTACAGAAATGGGTTCAAGTTTAAACTCTGAGGTGATTGAACCTCCTTACTGAAACAGGCCCCAGATGGAAACTTTTGTTTAGTGTTTAGCTTATGATTAAAGCTGTTGCACGTCTGCTAGTTTCCGCCTCTGAATGAGCGAGTTTTAGCTACTAGTAGCATTCAGAATAAACAAAACACCCGCCAAGAAACACAAACCTGCTGCTAGCTAGTGTTTCAGAAGTGTTACAGCAACACAAACAGCACGCAGAAGAATAAATACAAGTGTCAGCATTGTGTTCTGAGGCGTAAGTAATTTATTAAATAACGAAAAGATTGACACAGCTCATCCTACTGCAGTAAATTTTTATTTTTACTGTTGATATTTGCCGCAAGTTAATCAGAAAGTGATGATTTTGTTGTCTTTGACTTTGAAAACGCTGCTTTATTTGCACATGTTTTATGCGATATTCCTGATTTGCGCATTAATTTAATTAGCATTTTTGAATGGAAGCATTGCCAGTGGTGAATTAGCTAATCGTAAAATTAGCCACTAAATAAAAAAGTGAGGAACTGGCATGCGATAGCATTGAAATATATCAGCATAGCCTATATTATCAGAGTTTTCAAGTTATTTACTCTATATAAACAACAACTTATGGACTTTCACGATATTGTGTGTTTATTATCGCGATATATCGGAATTGTGAAATATGTCCAGAAATGAGTGTCCATCAGTGCACAGACACCGCGCCCTCCTCCAGGATGAATGAACACTTTGTTTGGACCTCAAACACACACACACTCACACATACACACTCTCTCACACACAGAGATACAGTGTAACCGCTTTACTCCAATAAAACGCGCTGTTTGTTTGTGTGTATAATGCATGTTTTTAAGGCGAGCGGCACCGGGGACTGAGCCCCGCACACACGCACCTCCTCCTGGGCACCGGTGTCTGGCGGCTCGGGCTGGATCCGGGAGACTCGGCTCTGCAGTTTTGCGCGGAGAGACTGGTGTGTTGATCTTCTGTGCGCTTCTGCAAGTGTCCGGCGATGATCCTCAGCCTGTGCTGTGATCTGCTGCTGCTGCTGCTGCCGTTGGACGCCATGCTGCTTCCGTGTTTGCTGTCAGAGGTCAGCGGCGGCTGATGGAGGCTGAAGGCGGAGATGAGCAACCGCGTCCCGGCATGCACCGCAGCGCACCCCGCCTCCAGCTCCAGACCCGCCCGCTCTGATACATCTCTCTGCTCACTGGCTGGAAGAGGGAAGAGGAGGAAAGACTACAAAATCTGGCACAAATCTGAAAATATATTTACATCTCAAGTATGACATTAGAGCAATGTTTGCAAACGGGCTAATACTTTGTTTCCCTGTTATTATTGTCTTCGTCGAGCTGCCTGTACTGTACTGTATTTTCATATCCGATAGATTCTCCGATCTATCTGTATGTCATAGGTTCATCTATCTATCTATCTATCTATCTATCTATCTATCTATCTATCTATCTATCTATCATCTATCTATCTATCTATCTATCTATCTATCTATCTATCTATCTATCTATCTATCTATCTATCTATCTGTCTGTCTCTCTGCCTTGCTCCATCCATCCATCCATCCATCCATCCATCCATCCATCCATCCATCCATCCATCCATCCATCCATCCATCCATCTATCTATCTATCTATCTATCTATCTATCTATCTATCTATCTATCTATCTATCTATCTATCTATCTATCTATCTATCTATCTGTCTATCTGTCTCTCTGCCTTGCGCCATCCATCCATCCACCTATCCATCCACCCATCTGTCTGTCTGTCTATTTGCCTAGCTCCATCCACCCACCCACCGACCCGCCCATCCATCCATCCATGCATACACCCATCATCTATCCGTGTAAAAGTTTTCACCCCCTGTTCTTAATGCATTTTGAATCATTTTAACAAAACAAGAGAGAGTTCATACCAAATGCATGCTAATAATTTTCAACACATTAATTTTAATTTATTTATTTAGTACTGTAAGATAATTCACGTAAAAGATGTTTACAGTTTGATGTATATATGAATCTACAGGACATTGATGACTCTTCTGGAGTTTAGCTGTTCATAACAAACAACAGACTCATAAAAACATCACAAACCAAAGAAAAGTGTCATCGCTTTTGCACAGTGTTATCTGAATCATGTCAGCTATGTTTGTATTTTGGGAACTATATTTAATAATATTCTATATTATGCATATACCCAGGTCAGTACTAAATAAATAAAATCATGCATTTTGTTATAATTATTCACATTTTCACAGATTCTGCAAGGAGTTCACAACTTTTACTTGGCACTCTGTCATAACAAATCATGAACTGAATTATCATTTTAAAAACACATTAATACTGAGGTAAAGTGAGTTGCTTGATTACCTAAAACATGCTCTTTGCGTAATCAGACATTTGTGGATTAAATGTTTTTCACCTGAATGTGTGAACTGGCCCTTTAAGTGAGCAGTTTCACTGTTTATGTGTTAATTAATCAGTCACATGTGTGCTTTAATACACTTCAGTAAAACCTCTTTTATTTCCCATATGCATTCTTTGCACCTTGCATACTTCAGGATGCGGTATTTTACACACACACACACACACACACACACACACACACACACACACACACACACACACACACACACACACACACACACACACACACACACACACACACACACACACACACACACACACACACACACGATTGCATAAGTCTTTAAGTGTTTAACCAAGCAAGTACATTTGTCACTGCATTTTCTATTATATTTTTCTTGTGTAGAAAGTATTTCTTATTTCTTTTAATTTAGCTGGAATCAAAAAATACATTTAAAAATGTACATGCTGTAACAACATCTGAGGTCAGTATTATTACACAGCGCTACATTGATATCACAAAAAAATTCAAAAATGCAAATCGATTTGATGTCAAAACAATATAAAAACAAAAACTGCAAATCGATTTGACGTCAAAACAATATAAAAAACTAAAAATGCAAATCGATTTGACGTCAAAACTATATAAAAAACTAAAAATGCAAATCGATTTGATGTCAAAACTATATAAAAAACTAAAAATGCAAATCGATTTGATGTCAAAACTATATAAAAAACTAAAAATGCAAATCGATTTGACGTCAAAACTATATAAAAAACTAAAAATGCAAATCGATTTGACGTCAAAACTATATAAAAAACTAAAAATGCAAATCGATTTGACGTCAAAAAATATTTATAAAACGTAAAAATGCAAATTGATTTGACATAAATAAATATTTAAAAAAACGTAAAAATGCAAATTGATTTGACATAAATAAATATTTAAAAAAACGTAAAAATGCAAATCGATTTGACATAAATATTTAAAAAAACGTAAAAATGCAAATCGATTTGACATAAATAAATATTTAAAAAACGTAAAAATGCAAATTGATTTGACATAAATAAATATTTAAAAAAACGTAAAAATGCAAATCGATTTGACATAAATAAATATTTTAAAAAACGTAAAAATGCAAATCGATTTGACATAAATAAATATTTAAAAAACGTAAAAATGCAAATTGATTTGACATAAATAAATATTTAAAAAAACGTAAAAATGCAAATCGATTTGACATAAATAAATATTTTAAAAAACGTAAAAATGCAAATTGATTTGACGTCAAAACAACATTAAAAAACATGTCAAAAATGCAAATCAGTTTGAAGTAAAAACCTTGACATCTATTTGACATCCACAAATTGATGCCCATTGACCACCAGAAAAATGACACAAAGGCTATTATAGCTAAATATATATATATTTTATTAATTTTCAAAACTTCAGTTACAAATAAAAACTTTATTTTGTACCCCTTCAATGCAAGGAAACTACCTAGAATCAATTTTAACGTCAATTGATTACCTTGATGTCAAATCGACATCTACGTTGCTGTTAAAATATGTAAAAAATTGGTTTGATTATAGGACTGTCCTGACGCCAATTTTAGATGTCAATTTGATGTTGTTTTGACATCAAGGTGCCCAGGTCGTAAAACTTTTTCCCCCTGATCTCACTCTGCCCTACTTCAAGGACAGTTTTTTTTTCTTTACCTCCTTTCTCCCCCCCTAATGCATCTCATTTCTTCTTTCTATGCAACCTCTCAACTGACCTATGTTCCCCTGAAATCTCAAATGTGTCACACAAAAATCACACAAATCTGATGTTTGTATGGTTGAAGGGATCCAATCTCGCTGCATGTAACAGTGTTGTGACAAATATCATCAGAAGGGATACAGCTGTAGCCGGAAGTTAGCAAGAATTATTTATATTATTTACCAAATTACCAATACATTTTATTTTTGCATCTACCCCCTAAACCTAACCCCCACAGTACAGTAAAAACAGTAATTTCACAGAGTATTCTTATTATTATTTATTAATTCACCCATTAAATTGTATTTTATTAATGTATACCCCGAAACCCAACACTCACAGTGAAGTAAAAACAGTAATTATTATTGTACATTAACTGTAGAGAAATAATTCTTGTTAACTTCTGGCCATTAACAGCACTTGCGTAGATATTACAAATAAAACATTTACAGAAGGGACAATCCTTTGTTCTCGAACACATCCTTATTTATCCGAGAAAACATATTTCTAATGATGCTGTTGACTTGAAATGTTCCCCGGATGTTGGGAACAACCAGTGAAATCCATATATACAAAGAAAACACATGTAATTTACAAATTATATCCAGTGTAATAAAATTAAATGACACAGGAAAAAAAAAAAAAGATTGAACACACGAAGAAAGGGAGGCGTAGTTCAGCAGTGAAAGCCCAGACAGCAGCTGAAATCTCTCAGTAGTTCTTCAGCAAGCCTCTGCCCTTCCTCAGTGTAAATGAACATCAGCTGCTTCAGTCCAACATCTACATCAGCAGGAGGATGAAGATGAACCCAGGGTGGACATTTCAGCAAGACAATGATCCAAAACACAGCCAAGGAGACTCTCGGATGCTTTCAGTGAAAGAGAATCAAGCTGTAGAATGGCCCAAACAATCCCCTGACTCGAATCCAATAGAGAATTCAGATAAAGCTCAGATTTGATAGACGAGACCCACAGAACTATCAAGAGTTTGAAACTCTGTTGAAGTCTGTGAGAAGCACCTGAGCAAGACATGGGACTTCTTTATTCATATGAGAGGCATCCAGCACCAATTAAGTACACTTCAGTAGTTCAGCACTTCCTCCTCCTGTCTTTCCACTGTTATTAAACGTAACTTAATAAACGTGTTTAATTTTATTTTTATGTTTGTATTGTTCGGGTTTTTAAATCAAAATCTGCTTCAATTCCATTCCCTTCACAAATATAACTCCCAGGAAAAAACACGACAACGTGTTCAATACTTATTCTCCCCGCTGTATATCAGAGTGTTACCTGTGCTCTTCAGAGTCATGTGACCGCCTCCTGATGATGTCATCACAAACCTAAACCCATTTCACACACTTTCCCTTCTTCTACATGTGAAATGCATTCCTTTTTACAACAATGGGAAAAAATGCCGCATTTCTGTGTTGAGTGAGGTTTCGGAAAGGAATGTTTAATTGGAAAGAGCTGTGTTACTGCGCAACGCTTATTTTTAGCCGTTTAGCAATTGTGGTATAGCCTTCGCTATGCTAATTGAGTGCTTGGAAAACACACTCTGAAAACAGATCACGTACATAACACACACAAACACATTGAATTTTGGGGATAGCAGTTGAAGGTAAGGGAACGAGCATGAGATGGTGGTAATTGTAATGATGTTTTGTGTGTGTTGTCGAGGAACACGACGTCGTTTTCATGCTTTTCTCCTCCAGGCCTGAGCTTTAAACTCCCAAAACAAAGTTCTGTAATGCACTGACTGCAAACATTCAGAGTCGGAGTGTATCACAGAACTTTACTTGGAAAGCCAGAGAGCTGCTTGATGATATTCGCACTCTTCCGCCATCTGCAAGAAACAAACACACACGTTACATTACTCTCCTCTGTCTCGCATATTACACTACATACTTACTCAAAAAATACTGCACTGTCGAAAACCAAATTTACAAGAACAATAGATTAATGCTTGGTTTGTGGTGTTATTCTGAAGCGTGTTGGCATTATAAATATAACTAATTATTAATTTATTTTCTATATTAGAAAACTGCAAGTTCATATTTTAGTTACTAATATTTTGGAGCATTTTATACTGCTGTATAATACAGTATAATCATCTATATTGCGGTATAATCATTCATAATGCGGTATAAAACAGTATAATCTTCAATATTGCGGTATAATATTCTTATTGAGGTAGAATAGAGTATAATCTTCAATATTGCGGTATAATATTCTTATTGAGGTAGAATAGAGTATAATCTTTAATATTGCGGTATAATATTCATATTGAGGTAGAATAGAGTATAATCTTTAATATTGCGGTATAATCATTCATAATGCGGTATAATACAGTATAATCTTCAATATTGCGGTATAATCATTCATAATGCGGTATAATACAGTATAATCTTCAATATTGCGGTATAATATTCTTATTGAGGTAGAATAGAGTATAATCTTTAATATTGCGGTATAATCATTCATAATGCGGTATAATACAGTATAATCTTCAATATTGCGGTATAATCATTCATAATGCGGTATAATACAGTATAATCTTCAATATTGCGGTATAATATTCATATTGTGGTAGAATAGAGTATAATCTTTAATATTGCGGTATAATATTCATATTGTGGTAGAATACAGTATAATCTTTAATATTGCGGTATAATATTCATATTGTGGTAGAATACAGTATAATCTTTAATATTGCGGTATAATATTCATATTGTGGTAGAATACAGTATAATCTTTAATATTGCGGTATAATATTCATATTGTGGTAGAATAGAGTATAATCTTCAATATTGCGGTATAATATTCATATTGTGGTAGAATAGAGTATAATCTTTAATATTGCGGTATAATATTCATATTGTGGTAGAATAGAGTATAATCTTCAATATTGCGGTATAATATTCATATTGTGGTAGAATAGAGTATAATCTTTAATATTGCGGTATAATATTCATATTGTGGTATAATACAGTATAATCTTCAATATTGCGGTATAATATTCATATTGAGGTAGAATAGAGTATAATCTTTAATATTGCGGTATAATATTCATATTGAGGTAGAATAGAGTATAATCTTTAATATTGCGGTATAATATTCATATTGTGGTAGAATAGAGTATAATCTTCAATATTGCGGTATAATATTCATATTGTGGTAGAATAGAGTATAATCTTCAATATTGCGGTATAATATTCTTATTGAGGTAGAATAGAGTATAATCTTCAATATTGCGGTATAATATTCATATTGTGGTAGAATAGAGTATAATCTTCAATATTGCGGTATAATATTCATATTGTGGTAGAATAGAGTATAATCTTTAATATTGCGGTATAATATTCATATTGTGGTATAATACAGTATAATCTTCAATATTGCTGTATAATATTCATATTGTGGTAGAATAGAGTATAATCTTTAATATTGCGGTATAATATTCATATTGTGGTAGAATAGAGTATAATCTTCAATATTGCGGTATAATATTCATATTGTGGTAGAATAGAGTATAATCTTCAATATTGCGGTATAATATTCATATTGTGGTAGAATAGAGTATAATCTTTAATATTGCGGTATAATATTCATATTGTGGTATAATACAGTATAATCTTCAATATTGCGGTATAATATTCATATTGTGGTAGAATAGAGTATAATCTTTAATATTGCGGTATAATATTCATATTGTGGTAGAATAGAGTATAATCTTCAATATTGCGGTATAATATTCATATTGTGGTAGAATAGAGTATAATCTTCAATATTGCGGTATAATATTCATATTGAGGTAGAATAGAGTATAATCTTTAATATTGCGGTATAATATTCATATTGTGGTAGAATAGAGTATAATCTTTAATATTACGGTATAATATTCATATTGTGGTAGAATAGAGTATAATCTTTAATATTGCGGTATAATATTCTTATTGAGGTAGAATAGAGTATAATCTTCAATATTGCGGTATAATATTCATATTGTGGTAGAATAGAGTATAATCTTTAATATTGCGGTATAATATTCATATTGTGGTATAATACAGTATAATCTTCAATATTGCGGTATAATATTCATATTGAGGTAGAATAGAGTATAATCTTTAATATTGCGGTATAATATTCATATTGTGGTAGAATAGAGTATAATCTTCAATATTGTGGTATAATGCAGTATAATCTTTCATAATGAAGTATAATCCAGTATAATCTTTAATATTGCGGTATAATATTTATATTGTGGTAGAATACAGTATAATCTTCAATATTGTGGTATAATGCGGTATAATCTCTCATATTGTGGTAAATACTGTATAAACTTTCATATTGTGGTATAATACAGTATAAACTTTTAAATTCCGGTTTAATACAGTATAATCTTCAATATTGCGATATAATGCGGTATAATCTCTCATATTGCGGTAAATACTGTATAAACTTTCATATTGTGGTATAATACAGTATAAACTTTTAAATTCCGGTATAATACGGTATAATCTTCAATATTGCGATATAATGCGGTATAATCTTTCATAATGCTGTATAATACAGTATAATCTTCAATATTGCGGTATAATACAGTATAATCATCAATATTGTGGTAGAATACAGTAAAATCTTCTATACTGTGGTATAATACGGTATAATCTTTCATAATGTAGTATAATAGGGTATAATCGTCAATATTGTGGTATAATACAGTATAATCATTATTGCGGTATAACACAGTATAAACTTCCATATTGTTGTATAATACAATATAAACTTTTAAATTGCGGTAAAATACAGTATAATTTTTAATATTGTGGTATAATGTGGTATAATCTTTCATAATGCGGTATAATACAGTATAATCTTCAGTATTGTGGTATAAAATGTATAATCTTTCATATTGCGGTAAAATACAGTATAAACTTTCATATTGTGGTATAATGCAGTATAAACTTTTATTTAGCATTAAATTCGAGTAAAATCCTTCATATTGGAGTAGAATAAGGGCAGAAAGTGCAAAAATACAGTAAAATGTGCATTTATTAATTCAATTAATAACTATTTTAAATACATATTAATTAATTAGTTTTTTATATACGTTTACATAACTGTAATGTTCTATAATAACAATAATAATATAATAAGAATAATTTGCAATTATTTTTATTATTTTTATAATTAACAAATTAAGTATGTTTGTATATTCTGAGAATTATTATTTTATCTTTGCCATGATGACAGCACACAATAGTTGACTAGATCTTTTTAAGACACTTCTATGCAGCTAAAAGTGACATTTAAAGGCTTAATTAGTTTAACTAGGCAGGTTAGAGTAATTAGGCAAGTTATTGTATAATGATGGTTTGTTCTGTAGACTATCAAAAGAAATATAGCTTAAAGGGGCTAATAATTTTGACCCTAAAATGTATTTTAAAAAATTAAAAACTGCTTTTATTCTAGCCGAAATAAAACAAATAAGACTTTCTCCAGAAGAAAAAATATTATCAGACATACTGTGAACATTTCCTTGCTCTGTTATACATCATTTGGGAAATATTAGAAAAAGAAAACAAAATTCCAAGGGGGGCTAATAATTATGACTTCAACTGTATGTATATATATATATATATATATATATATATATATATATATATATATATATATATATATATATATATATATATATAACAGGTGGGTTAATTTCACAGTATACAGTATATGACAATTCTTAAATGAAAGATGATTAACAGTGTTATCAGAGTATGGAAGTAAGACAGTGAGCACCATAAAGGCTATCAGACACATTTAAATAATGATGGATAAAGTTGTAAGTTTGGGTTCACTCTCTCACTCACACACACACACACACACACACACACACACAATCACGTCACCATGATGAACACATATGGCGGCCTACATTGCATATGCAGAAACACATGCAAAATAAATAAATACGATAAAATAAACCGAAAGTGGACAGTAGTTGGTCTGCATGTGACTCCTCTGCTCTCCGCCTGTTTACACAGCATATAGTGAAGTTAACCATCGGCGCGTGCAGACGCAGAAACAGCTGACGTGTCGAAAAGCGTCCAAATGTGGAGCAGAGCACTGGAGCAAATGAAGCCCACCACCGCGGTCTGTCATCCCGGGAACACCTCAACTTCAAACACTCTTATCGAGTTCCACAAACAACAACTAAAGCAGGAGACGTCGCAAAAAAAGTGAAGAAAGGGGCAAACTGGGAATGCCATATGTCAAGAGTGTAACTCCACGCAGACACAGGCGCTAATGTCACTTCACCATCCATAGGGAAACTTTCATATCTGTCAAACTTACTCCAAGTCTGTGAATAAATATATCAGGATAAATAAATGTTTTTTGTATCACGAGATGACATGATTTTATAGCGCGCGCACACGCATGCACGCACAGTCTAATCGAAATATATAAACACACACACACACACACACACACACTTCCAAAGTAAAGCACTGGGAACACTGCATCTAAAAACAAAAGTAATAAACCTGCTGCAGCTCTCGGTCATTCAGTCGGTCTGTGGGTTCCTGGAGAAGCTCTGGGTCTGCTTGTTTCTCTGTCTGGAGCTGCTGAACACTGGAGATCCTGCAAGCTGTGGATGAAGAGCTTCAGCTGGAGAATGTCGACGTGGAGCTGCCAACCGTGCGCGCGCAATCACGCACGCGCTTAGGACGGGGGGAGAGAAAAAAACGGAGTGCACTTCACTGTTCTCCTAGTCAAAAACTGAACACACTTTACTGTTTACTTTACCTTACTAGCGAAAAACTGAGTACGAATATTCTGTGCGTGCTATTATTATTATTATTATGTATCGGTTAGTTTAGTGCTGGAGATGTGTGTCTGAGATAGATGGATAAATAGACAGACAGACAGACAGACAGACAGACAGACAGACTGATAGATAGATAGATAGATAGATAGATAGATAGATAGATAGATAGATAGAGATAGATAGATAGATAGATAGATAGATAGATAGATAGATAGATAGATAGATAGAGATAGATAGATAGATAGATAGATGTTGGATGGATGAATTGTAACCATTGACTTTTTATACTATTTGTTTCCTACAATGGAAGTCAAATATAACTAGTTTTCAGCATTCTTCAAATTATCTTCTCATCAAACTTTTGTGAGTTTCTTCTGCGGAACACAAAAGAAGATATTTTGAAAAATGTTGTAAACCTGTAACCACTGAGTTATAAACTATTTGTATTTCCTACTATGGAAGTCAATGGAGGCGGTTCATTCCGCTGTGGCGACCCCTAATTAATAAAGGGACTAAGCCGAAAAGAAAATTAATGAATGGAAATCAATGGTTACTGGCTTTCAGCATTCAACAAAATATCGTCTCATCAAACCGTGGTGAGTTTCTTCTGCTAAACACAAAATAAGATATTTAGAAAAATGCTCTGTAACCATTGAATTCTTTACTATTTGTTTTTCCTACTATGGAAGTCAATGGTTACCGGTTTTCAGAATTCTTCTTATTTTCTCATCAAGTCTTGGTGAGTTTCTTTCTTCTGCTAAACACACAAACAAATGATATTTAAAAAATGTTGTAAGCCTGTAACCATTGACTTATATACTATTTGTTTTTCCTACTATGGAAGTCAATGGTTACCAGTTTGCAGCATTTTTTAAAATATCTTTTCATCAAAGCGTGGTGAGTTTCTTCTGCTAAACACAAAAGAAGATATTTAGAAAAATTTTGTAAACCTGTAACCATTGAATTCCATACTATTTGTTTTTCCTACTATGGAAGTCAATAGTTACCAATATTCATCATTCTTTAAATTATGTTCTCATCAAATCTTGGCGAGATTCTTCTGTTAAACACAATAAGATATTTAGAAAAATGTTGCAAACATGTAACCATTGACCTTTATGCTATTTGTTTTTCCTACTAAGGAAGTCAATGGTTACCGGTTTTCAGAATTCTTCGAATTATCTTCTCATCAAACCTTGGTGAGTTACTTTCTTCTACTAAACACACAAAATATATATATATATATATATTAAATGTTGTAAACCTGTAGCCATTGACTTATATACTATTTGTTTTTCCTACTATGGAAGTCAATGGTTACCAGTTTGCAGCATTTTTAAAAATGTCTTTTTATCAAACCTTGGTGAGTTTCTTTTGCTAAACACAAAAGAAAATATTTTTAAAAATGTTGTAAACCTGTAACCATTGAACTCTATACTATTTGTTTTTCCAACTATGGAAGTCAATGGTTACTGATTTTCAGCATTTTTCAAAATATCTTCTCATCAAAAAGTGGTGAGTTTCGTTCTTCTGTTGAACACAAATATATATATATATATATATTATTTTTTTATTTTATTTTTTTTTTTTTAATTGTAAACCTGTTCTACAATGGAAGTCAATGGTTACCGGTTTTCAGCATTTTTCAAAATATATTCTTCAGTGTTCCACAGAAGAAAGAACTCTCTTCCCGAACACGGGTAAGGTTTTTATTGTTAGTAAAATACATCACATGCTTCAAGAAAACAATTTTGAAAAGTTTACAAGCCTCATGGTCAGTGAAACACCTTGCAGTAAAGCTTTTGACCGAGCTGACAGTGTGATTTAAGTGTGTGTTGATGTTAACAACAGTAATTATACAGTCTGTCATGTGATCACTGAACATCAGTTGATCCTCAGTCATCCATTTGCTTAACCCAAGCCACATTTTAATGTCTCGCTTAAAGTTTTGTAATCATAAACTCTCTTAATGGCCAGAGTGGTTAAATCGCGGTCTAAAATAAGTTGAAGATTAATTACTGGAATTGTGGAAAACGCACAAATGCGTAACAGGACGATGCTGATGGCGAACAGCAGGGGTCGCTGTCTGACAGACAGATTTTTGGGGTAAGTCACGTGATACAACTGTGGTCAAAATCTTTAAAATACTCGACTGCAAGATACAGTTTTTGGTTTCATTTCTGAGGGGAACGTATTGTTTTCAAAAAAATATAAGTTAAGGCTAATCCTGACGCTAAAACATGTTTATTTACTTTAATAAATGGAGAAATATTTGATTTTTTTTTTGCGACCCACAATGTTAGCAAACATGTCGAGAGTCGAAATAATGAACGTGTAATTCATCATTAGGTGAACTTAATATGATAAAATATATGATGTTTTATTTTGTTTTTCAATCGTCATCATTTAAGGCTAATCCTAAAGCAAAAACATGTATATTTATTACTTTAATAAATGGAGAAATACTTGACTTTTTGCAACCCACGTACGCAAAACATGTAGAGTCAAAATAACACAATTCTTGTACATCATTTTTATGTAGACCTACTAAATATAATAAAAAATATGTTTTATTTTGCTTTCCAATTAACATAATTTAAGGCTAATCCTTGCGCTAAAACATGTTTATTTACTTTAATTAATGGAGAAACATTAGACTTGTGACCTACAGTGTTAGCAAACATGTAGAGAGTCGAAATATATATACCCACAGTCGCAAAAAAGTTGAATATTTCTCGATTAGCCTTAAATTATGTTTATTGGAAAGCAAAATAAAACATCATATATTTTATTATCTGAAGTAGGCCTATATATAAATTATGTATTACACATGTATTATGTCGACTCTAGTTTGCTAACACTATGGGTCGCAAAAAAGACTAATATTTCTCCATGTATCAAAGTAAATATACAGTTGAAACCAGAAGTTTACACACACTCTAAAAAAAGGAGCATAACCATTTTTTAAAGTAATGTCTGATGGTAAATCATGATAAACGTTTACTATTTTAGGTCCGTTAGGATTACCTTAATGATTTACATTTGCTAAATGCCAGAATAATGAGATTTTTTATTTATTTAAATGTTTTATTCATTTCTAGACAGTCAAAGGTTTACACACATATGCTTGGTATTTTTAGCTTTGCTTTTAAACTGTATACCTTTGGTCAAATGTTTTGGGTCTCCTTCCACAAGCTTCTCACAATAGTTTGCAGGAATTTTGGCCCATTCCTCCTGACAGAATTGCTGTAACTGAGTCAGATCTTGCTCGAACAAGGTTTTTCAACTCTGCCCTCAAATTTTCTATAGGATTGACATCAGGGCTGTGTGATGGCCACTCCAAAACATTCACTCTGTTGTCCTTGAAGCACATTTGAACTAATTTGGCAGTGTGCTGAGGGTCATGGTCTGTTTGGAAGACCCATTTGTGACCAAGTTTTAATTTCCTGGCTGATGTCTTGAGATGTTGCTTCAGTATTTCTTCATAATGTTCTTTCTTCATGATGCCATCTATGCTGTGAAGTGGACCAGTCCCTCCTGCAGCAAAACAGCCCCACAACATGATGCTGCCGCCCCCATACTGCACAGTTGGGATGGTGTTCCTAGGCTAGTAAGCTTTCCCCTTTGTCCTCCAAATGTAACACTGCTCATTATGGCCAAACAGTTCAATCTTAGCTCCATCAGAGCACAGGACATGTCTCCAAACATTAGTCTTTTCCCAGTGTAATTGAGCTAATTTTAATCTGGCTTGTTGATTTTCCCATGTTGTCACACAAGGAAGCAGTGTGTTTGAGCTTTTCCCTAAATACTATTCTACAGTTGTGCCTCGAATTAACTCAAATGTTGTCAATTAGCCAATCAGAAACTTCCAAAACCTCGACACCATCATCTGAGCTTTTCCAGAGGCAGAATAATCATATTGTGTGTAAACTTGACTTTCAAGAAAAGTTATAACAATTTCTCAAAAATATCTCCCTCATTACAGAAACAAATATAATAATCATAAATTACCTAAAAGAAGAAAAGTTTAGTCACAATAACATCTGACTTTTTAAAAAATGGTTATGTGCCTTTTGATATTGTATGTAAACTGCTTTCAATTGTATATGTGTATGATGTATATGTATTACTGCACTGTGGACGGCAAAGTAAGAACTTTGTACAGGAAACGTGTTTCCTCATTGTGCACATGACAGTGAATATTGAATTAAATATTTCAGGCGGTTTAATAATTCTGATTGCAACTGTACATCTATTTATGCGTTCTTTTTATCAAAGCCATTATTTTAAGCAGAACTGCGCGTTTATTTATAGATCAAGAATGAAAGTGCTATTATGAAAATAGTGTTTATGAAGATTCAGTCAGGAGGGCTTACCAGCAAGTACAGGCGGAACATGAAGGGGGCGTATAACGCAACACCTCAGTACGCGCTTCCTATTGGCTAACGCTGATAGTAGGCGTGGTCTTCAAATGACTGGGGCTTTCCGTAAATTTTCATAACTCCACAGACAGCGTTTCCTTCGCAAGTGCAGCGTCCAGCAAAGACAATCCGACGTATTTATTTGAAGCCTCATTTAATTTCTCGGTGAAGGATTACAGGAGGTGCACCACATTAGGAGTTACGCTGAATATAAAGAGGAGATTATCTCTGAGACATGATGGAGATTGAAATGTCTAAAATGCAGCCAAGCCAACAGGTAAATAATATTTAATATTACACTTACTGCGTTGCTAATGCTGTGACAGCGTTCCGCTTTTAATAGTTTTCTAAATATATAACTGTCAACTTTTAGCCAGTTTTGCTAATAGTGCTGTGATGTTACATCATTTGCCCTTTGAACCGGTTATGTGGGGCATAAATGTATTTATTGCTCATGTCAAATGTGTGTCACCAGATCACAGAATAGCTAATTTGTTGTTATAAAAGCTTATCGTGTTGCTTTTAAAGTTTCAAGATGATCATAATTTAGCATTAGATGCTATTATTTGTATTATTATCCATTTATAATTCATGACATGGGGTGAAATGTGACATTATAATAATGTATATGCTAATATTAATATATATTTCTCATTGAAGTAGGCGTTTCCTCAGCCCTCTTTCTAATCTCTCGACTCTCCTTTTCACGTCAAAAGAAAATCTGCATAGTCATTGAACTCGCGCCGTCCTAAACACCAAAACGAAGAGCAAAAATCCACATAAATGTGAATACTGATGCCCTGGTAGTGTTGTCCGGTGTAGAGCTGGCACTCGGCTGAACTTCTGTCATGAGACGTTGCGTCGCGCTTTCATGTTTTTGCGTGTGATCCCGCAGCGGCTCCGTTGAGTCTCTGCGCATGCGCGGCACCGGCGCCTTGCACAATAGCAGGCGGCTCCAATCTGGAATGTGGCTGTTTACTTTACTCTTGTGTCCTGACGTAAAGAAGTGATCCCGAGCTTCAAGACAAGATTAGTCTCCATCTCAGCTGTCTGTCTGAATAGTTGACTGCAGGAATATACTTCAAGTGTTGACAGTTTATATGGAAACTGTCATTTAACTGACGCACGTTACGTAACAGCGAACAGCTTTGAACCGTTAAAAATATTAACCGTCACATTATTTTAAATTGTTTAAATTAACCGCTCAGTAGGCCTACAATAGTATAAATGCAATATTACTTAATTTTTATATCAACAAATGAAGAGTTTGACCTTCAGAAAGATTGTTTGCCAATCACAAAAGGTCAATGTTACATATTTAAATATATTTCTTGGCAAACCTGTACTGAAACTAAGCAAAAACTAAATAACGTCTTGAATTAGTCGACTTTTATGAACTAATGACACATATATGGTGGACTAAATTGTTGCCTAAATTGTTTCTGTGTCATATAACCTATTACAGAAAACCTTTTTTTACCATTCTAGCTTACTAAAACCATTTTAAAACCAGTTTCAGTTTTGCACCTGCCAATGTATATAAGCTGAACGATCTATTATATTGTACAGTTGAAATCGTCACATTATTCATTCATTCATTTTGTTTTCAGCTTAGTCCCTTTATTACTCCGGGGTTGCCACAGCGTACTGAACCGCCAACTTATCCAGCATATGTTTTACGCAGCGTATGCCCTTCCAGCAGCAACCTATCACTGGGAAAACATCCATACACACTCATTCACACACATAACAGACAATTTTAGCTTACCCAATTCACCTGTACCTCATGTTTTTAGACTTGTGGGGAGAAAACAGAGCACCCGCAGGAAACCCACACCAACACAGGGAGAACATGCAAACTCCACATAGAAATGCCAACTGACCCAGCCGAGGCTCAAACAAGCAACCTTGTTGCTGGTAGGCGATTGTGCCCTCGTCACAATATTTTTTGTTTAATTAAGTGCTGAAGAGGCCTACAATTAGTATAAATGTGATGTTATTTAATTTTTATACCAACAAATGAAGAGCTTGACCTTCAGTAAGATTGTTTGCCAATCACAAAAGGTCAATGTCATATATTTAAATATATTTCTTGCAGATTTTCTGTATTGAAACTAAGCACAAACTGAATAATATCTTATTATTCATTCATTTTCTTTTTGGCTTAGTCCCTTTATTCATAAGAGGTCATTACAGTGGAATGAACCGCCAACTTATCCAGCCCATGTTTTACACAGCGGATGCCCTTCCAGCTGCAACCAATCACTAAGAAACATCCATACACACTCATTCACACTTAAACACTACGGCCAATTTAGCTTACCTAATTCACATATACCGTAGCACCCGGAGGAAACCCATGTGAATAAATATAATCTAATGCTATAATATAATTAATATAATGCTATAATTAATGTAATGTAGTATAATGTGATATAATATAACAAACATTACATTTTGAGTTGATTAAACTGAAATAGCGTTACCTCAACATTTTTAAGTTTGTTAAAGTATGTAAATAAATGTATTTTCCAGTAATGTAAACTGTTTGCAGTATATAAAATAATCAGGTTTGTCACTTCAAAATATAAAGTCTTCCCAAAACTTTATGTACAAGCGTGACCAATAGTGTTTACAAAACTGACATTTATATCTCATAAAAATATTTCAATGTGCTTTTACATCCTTTTTTTTTACATTGAAGTAGTTTTTATGAGCCACAAATGTCATTTTTGTAATATATAAATGACAAAATGTTTGAAATAAATAAACAACTCGTTAAATACACATTTTAATTATTAAAAGCATTAGTTAATGTATAAATAAATATTTAATTATTCGTGTCATTATTTAATCATATTTAAATAAATGTATGTATAAAATTAAATAATAATGTACATGGGCGACACAGTCGCTCAGTGGTCAGTACAGTGACCTCATAGCAAGAAGGTCCCTGGTTCGAGTCCCGGCTGGGTCAGTTGGCGTTTCTGTTTGGAGTTTGCATGTTCCCCCCTGTTGGTGTGGGTTTCCTCCGGGTGCTCTAGTTTTTAAGGAATGAATGTAAATAAATAACTAATAAATTCAGAATAAGTAAATATATAATTAAATAATTGCATAAATATATACATAATAAATAAATGTATATAATTAATTAAATAAATACATAATAAATAATATATATATATATATATATATATATATATATATATATATATATATATATATATATATATACATTTATTATTAAATAATTACATAAATACATATAAAATAAATACACATAATTAATTAAATAATTAATAAATACATTTACAAGTACATAATAAATATATGTAATTAAATAATTCCATAATTAAATACATCATAAATAAATATAAAATTAAATAATTAAAAATTTACTTTTACATTTACTAATACTTTTAATAATTAAAATGTGTGTTTACTCATTTATTTATCTATTTCAACATTTATTCATTTATTGATTTAATTTTGGGTCATTATGCCCTCCATGAATACATTCAGGTTTTAAAATACAGAATAAACACCTGAATCCTTTTTAGCTAATCTATTTTTCAAGAATACACACACACACGCACACACAGTGTAGTGACATGAGGGTTCGCTAAACCGGTTTTGAGTCTGATTACGTGCAGTATCACCTGCCTGAAATGAACAGTGAAGAAGAAAAAAAAAGAAGAACAAGGCGTCCTCTTGTTTCTGTAATGGTATATTCCACGTCCCGAGCAACAGGAAGTGAGGCAGGTGTGAAAAATAATCTCTCCTCGCCGTTTTAATAACACCTCTGCTCTCTCGTTTCCATTCACCTGGATAATGATTGCAACTTTCAGCATTAATTATGCAGTTACAGGTGTGTCTGGGTGATACTTTTTCACTAAATACAATCCCCTTCATGTACTTCCATAGTGACGGTAAACACAACTGAACATATAATTATTACTATACTCATCTGCAATATGGAACATGATTAATATACACTCACTGGCCACTTTATTAGGTACATTAATAAGGTACAACTGCTCCTTAATGCAAATTTCTAATCAGCCAATCACATGGCAGCAACTCAATGCATTTAGGCATGTAGACATGGTCAAGACGATCTGCTGCAGTTCAAAGCGAGAATCAGAATGGAGAAGAAAGGGGATTTAAGTGAACGTTGCATGGTTGTTGGTGCCAGACAGGCTGGTCTAAGTATTTCAGAAACTGCTGATCTACTGGGATTTTCATGCACAACCATCTCTAGGGTTTACAGAGAATGGTCCGAAAAAGAGGAAATATCCAGTGAGCGGCAGTTCTGTGGATGCAAATGCCTTGTTGATGAGGCCAGAGGAGAATGGCCAGACTGGTTCCAGCTGATAGAAAGGCAACAGTAACTCAAATAAGCACTCGTTACAACCGAGCTCTGCAGAAGAGCATCTCTGAACACACAACACGTCCAACCTTGAGGCGGATGGGCTACAGCAGCAGAAGAGCACACCGGGTGCCGCTCCTGTCAGCTAAGAACAGGAAACTGAGGCTACAATTCACACAGACGTTGCTTGCTCTGATGAGTCTCCATTTCTGCTGACACATTCGGATGCTCGGCTCCCAATTTGACATCAACAACATGAAAGCATGGATCATCCTGCCTTGTATCAGCGGTTCAGGCTGGTGGTGGTGCTGTAATGGTGTGGGGGAGATTTTCTTTGGGTCCATTAGTACCAATTGAGCATCAACGCCACAGCCTACCTGAGTATTGCTGCTGACCATGTCCGTCCCTTTATGAGCACAGTGTCTCCATCTTCTGATGGCTACTTCCAGCAGGATAACGCAGCATGTCATAAAGCTCAATCATCTCAGACTGGTTTCTTGAACATGACGATGAGTTCACTGTACTCAAATGGCCTCCACAGTCACCAGAGCTCAATCCAATAGAGCAGCTTTGGGATGTGGTGGAACTGGAGATTGGCATCATGGATCTGCAGCAACTGTGTGATGCTATCATGTTAATATGGAGCAAAATCTCTGAGGAATATTTCAGTAGCTTGTTGAATTTTCGCCACGAAGGAATAAGGCAGTTCTGAAGGCAAAAGTGGTCCAACCCGGCACTAGGAAGGTGTACCTAATAAAGTCGCCAGTAATTATATAATTAGTCTATAGCAGTCATATCAAAACGTACTATATCACAAAATCATATTATACTCAGCAAATATTTCTCCTACACTAAAAAAATCTGCTTCTTGTTCAAGGCTGCTGTTTATGCTAATGAGGGAGAGATGG